TGACCGTCACCGCAAGCGGCTCCACCTTCACCACCACCAGACCATCGCGCTGGCGCTTGCCGGCACGGCCACGAAGACCGCCGACTACAACATCAGCGCCGAGTCGCTGACGCTGCTGGCCGGGGCGACCTCGGTCACGGCCACGGTGACCGCGGTGCAGGACAGCAGCGACGAGCCGGACGAGACGGTGCTGATCACCGCCTCGGTGGGCGGCAGCACCATCGGCACGCAGCAGACCGTCACCATCCCCGACGACGACGACGCGCCGACGCTGTCGGTCACGGTGAACCCGGACGCCATCGCGGAGGCCGCCGGCACCTCCACGGTGACCGTCACCGCAACGGCACCACCTTCACCAACCAGACCATCGCGCTGGCGCTTGCCGGCACGGCCACGAAGACGGCCGACTACAACATCAGCGCCGAGTCGCTGACGCTGCTGGCCGGGGAGACGTCGGTCACGGCCACGGTGACCGCGGTGCAGGACAGCAGCGACGAGCCGGACGAGACGGTGCTGATCACCGCCTCGGTGGGCGGCAGCACCATCGGCACGCAGCAGACCGTCACCATTCGCGACGACGACGACGCGCCGACGCTGACGGTCAGGGTGGACCCGGCGACCATCGCCGAGGCTGCCGGCACCTCCACGGTGACCGTCACCGCAAGCGGCTCCACCTTCACCACCAACCAGACCATCGCCCTGGCGCTTGCCGGCACGGCCACGAAGACCGCCGACTACAACATCAGCGCGGAGTCGCTGACGCTCACTGCCGGGGCGACCTCGGTCACAGCCACGGTCACGGCGGTGGACGACCTGCTCGACGACGATGCGGAGACGGTGGTGATCACCGCCTCGCACAACAGCATAAACATCGGCACGCAGCAGACCGTCACCATCACCGACGACGACAACACGCGCATCGTGTCCATCGCCGGCACGGACGCGAACGAGTCGGCCGGCAACATGGTCTTCACCATCAGCGTCAGCGAAACCAGTCCCGGACCCGTCAGCGTGGGCTGGGCGGCGGCCGCCGGGGAAGGCGATTCCGCTGAGCCGGAGGACTTCACGGCCTCGAGCGGCACGGCCACCATCGTCGCGAGCCAGACCTCCACCACCGTTTCCGTCCCCATCGTCAACGACATGGATTCACGAGGCGGCCGAGACCATCCGGGTGAATCTCGGCACCGTTTCGGCCACGGGGGTGACCGTCGCGCTCGGTCCAGCGAGCGACCGCTTCGCGGAGGCGAGCATTCTCAACGACGACCCGCCGCCCAGCCCCACCATTTCGGTGGACAACGCCAGCATCGCGGAGGCCGGCGGCCAGGCCGTCGTGACCATCGGCACCGGCAGCGGCTCCACCTTTGAAAGCGATGGAGTATGTCCTGACGCTGAGCGGCGCCGGAACCCGCATGGACTACACGATCGGCCAGACACACTGAACCCTGTCGCGGGTGGGCGACGAGCCCTCGATGGTCACCACCACGCTTACGGCCATCCAGGACAGGATCGACGAGCCGAACGAGGCCATCGTCCTGACCGCCGCCGTCGGCTCCGTGACCGTCACCGTCACCGACGACGACGACGCCCCCGTGCCGACCTTCACGGTGGACGAGGCGAGCATCGACGAGGCGGCTGGGTCGGCCACGCTGACGGTGAGCACCGGCAGCGGTTCGACCTTCGAACAGGCGCAGACCATCGTCCTGAGCCTGGGCGCGTTGGGCACCGCCACGGAGGTCCACGACTTCAACATTCAGTCCAAAACCCTGACCCTGCCGGCCGGCGTGGGCACGGCGCCCTCGTCCATCACTACCACCGTCACGGCGGTGCAGGACAAGATCGACGAGCCTAACGAAACGATCCTCATCGACGCGAAGCGCGGCACGGGGGGCTCGGCCCCGGCGGTGGGCTCGCAACTGACGGTCACCGTCACCGACGACGACGCGGTGCCGTTGCTGACGTTCACGACGAACAACGACAGCATCGCCGAGGCAGCCGGGTCGCCACGCTGACGGTGAGCACCGGCTGCGGTTCGACCTTCGAACAGGCGCAGACCATCGTGCTGAGCCTGGCCGCGCTGGGCACTGCCACGGAGGTCAATGACTTCACCATCCTGTCCAAAACCCTGACCCTGCGCCGCGCGCGGGCACGCGCCCTCCTCGATCACCACCACCGTCACGGCGGTGCAGGACAAGATCGACGAGCCCAACGAAACGATCCTCATCGACGCGAAGCGCGGCACGGGCTCGGCCCCGGCGGTGGGCTCGCAACTGACGGTCACCGTCGCCGACGACGACGCGTTGCCGGTGCTGTCGCTCGAGGTGTCCGCGCAGACGCTCGACGAGGCCGGGGGGACCTCCATCGTCACGGTGAGCACCGGCGCCGGCTCGACCTTCGAGACCGACCAGGTCCTGACGCTGACGCTCGGCGGCACCGCCACGGTGAACGACGACTACACGATCGGCGCCACCGAACTGACGCTGCCGGCGGGCGTGGGCACGGGGGTCTCGGAGATCACCACGCTGATCACCGCGGTGGACGACGACTTCTTCGAGGGCACCACAAACGAGCAGCTCACCGTGGCGGGCGCGCGCGGCGGCGGCGACTTCGGCGCGGCGAGGACCGTCACCATCGTCGAGAACGAGGAGCGCCGAAGCTCACGCTGTCGCTGTCCGACGACTCGATCAGCGAGGACGGACGGCACCACCACGGTGACGGCGAGCGTGTTGCCGCGCACGGTGGACGCCTTCACGGTCACCTTCGCGGTGACGCCCAATGCGCCGGCGACCGCGGCGGACTATGAACTGACCGGCGAACTGGAGTTCGCCGCGCTGTCGGCCACACCCACCGGCACGGTAACGATCACGACGAACAACAACCGTGTGGACCGGCCCGGACAAGACGGTGTCGGTCACCGGCACGAGTTCACAGAGCTACTTCCTCGCCACCGACGCGGTGACGCTCACCATCGTGGACGAGGACGCCCGCCGGCGACGGTGCTCGAGGTCAGCGCCGCGGGCATCGCGGAGAACGGCGGCGAATCCATCGTCACCGTGACCACCGGCGACGGGTCCACCTTCCCGGAGGCCATGACGGTGGTCCTCACGATGACTGGCGCGGCCACCGAGAACGCCGACTACAGCATTGTGTCCAAGTCCCTGACCCTGCCCGCCGGTTTGGGACTGGACGGAATGGACGGACTGGACGTCTCCATGGTGAGCACCACGGTGACGGGCATCAACGACATCATCGATGACGACGCCGAGGACATCCTCATCGACGCGGCCATCGGAGCGGCCGCGGTGGGCACGCAGCAGGGCATCACCATCACCGACGACGACGTCGCGCCGGTGCCACGCTGGGCGTGGCGCCGGGTTCCATCTCGGAGAACGGCGGCGTCTCGACGGTGACGGTGACCACAAGCACCGGCACCAGCACGTTCGCCACCGATCAGACGATCACGCTGACGCTGTCGGGCACGGCGGTGGAAGACGAGGACTACAGGATCACGTCGAAGACGCTGACGCTGCCCGCGGGGGTGGGGATGAACCACGCCCTGGTCACCGAGGCGGTGACCGGGCTGAATGACGCCATTGACGAGACCGACAGGGAGACGGTGCTGATCGACGCCGCACGCACCACCGGGCCGGCCACGAGCGTCCCTGTCGGCACGCAGCAGACCGTGGAGGTGGAGGACGACGACGGCCTACCGGTGCTTGAGTTCACGGCCAGTTCCACGCAGATCGGGGAGAACGGCGGGGTGTCCACGCTGACCGTGGCCACCGGCGGGGGATCGACGTTCGAGGAGGAGCAGACGATCACGCTGACCGTGGCCGACGGCGGAACCGCGGTCGAGGACAGCGACTACGGGTCGGTCGCCACGAGCCTGACGCTGCCGCCGGCGAGGGGCCTCGACGCCTCCGTTGTCACACACACACGGTTACGGGGCTCAACGACGCCAACTACGAGGGCATGGCGGACCAGACGATGACCATCTCGGCGGCCACGGCGCCGAGGCGATCGGCGTGCCGATCACCATCCGCGTGAAGGACGACGAGTCGCCGTCGGAGACGACGCTCGTGCTGTCGGAGGCGACCATTCGAGGATTCGACCGGGACAACGGGGCGAGCCTCATGTCGGCGACCTGTCTCGCCGCCGTCGGAGGTGGCGTTCTGGGTCAAGACATGCTGGACGGGACCCGTCGAGCGCATACCTGGGCCGCACGCGGTTCGGGCGCGGGAATTGCGGCTACCTTGAGTTCAGAGCCGGGCGACCTCCAGCGTGGCAACGACCCTCCGCGAGGTTCTTCGGGCAGGGACAACCAATGGCCGACGGCGACGCCGTCATCACCATCTCGGGCGAGATCACCGGCTTCGACACCTCCGAGTTCGAGGAGCTGCCCAATCCGCTGCCGGGCATCCGTGCGCCGGCACCGGTGACGCTGACCGTCAAGGACGACGACAGCGCCGCCACCACGGTGACGCTGTCGGTGAACACGAGCCAGGTGGACGAGGACGACGGCGCCACCGTCATTACCGTGACCGGCACGCTCACCGGCAATACACCCAGCGGCGCCACCACGGTGACGCTGTCGGTGGACTCCGGAGCGGGCGGGTCCGGAGCGCAGGCCGGCGCGGACTTCGTGCCGGTCGAGGATTTCGTGCTGACCATCGGGGCGGGCGCCACCAGCGCCATGGCGACGTTCACCCTGACGCCGACCGACGACACCATCGACGAGCCGGATGAGACCCTCACGCTGTCGGGCAGCCCCGGCTCCAGCAACGTGGGCATGGCCGGCACGGTGGCGATCACCATCGGTGACAACGACGCGGCGCCGGCGCTGGTGCTCTCGGTGGAGCCGGAGTCAATCGCCGAGGACGACGGCACCTCCACGGTGACGGTGAGCACCGGCACGGGCTCGACCTTCGCAACCGACCAGACCATCGTGCTGACATTGACCGGCACGGCCACCCAGGGCGGCGACTACACCATCGAGGCGACCTCGCTGGTGCTGCCGGCCGGCGCCGGCTCCGCGGCCTCGAGCGTCAGCACCACGATCACCGGAGTGGACGACACCGGGGCCGATCCGGGCGAGACCGTCATCGTCACGGGCTCCGTGGGCGGTGTCGATTTCGATACGGCCCGGACCATCACCATCGCCGACAACGAGGGCAGCCCCACGGTAACGCTGGTACTGACACCCGAAGCGGTGTTCGAGGGCGGTTCCAGCACGGTCAGCGCGCGGGTCTCGCCGGTATCGGCCGTGGCATTTCGACGTGACGGTGAGCGCGGCGGCCGTGGCTCCGGCCGACGCCGACGACTTCACCCTCAACGGCACGACGCTGAGTTTCGCCGCCGGAGCCGCGCAGAGCACGGGCGCGGTGACCATCGATGCGACCGACGACAGCGAGGACAGCGACGACAAGACCGTCACGGTGTCGGGCACGGTTTCGGCGGCGGGGGTGACGGCGCCGGCGGACGTGGCGCTGACGATCCGCGACGACGAGGGCGCGGTGACGCTGTCGCTGGAGGTAAGCGCGGACAGCATCAGCGAGGACGGCGGCACGGCCACGGTGACGGTCTCGACAGCCACGGACTCGACCTTCGACACCGAGCAGGTCATCACGCTGGTGATGGCGGCACCGCGGCCCGGGCGCGGGCGCGGACTACACCATCGGCTCCACCACGCTGACCTGGCCGCGGGCGCGAGTTCCGTGACGACTACGGTGACGGGACGGGCCGACGAGGTGTTCGAGGGCGGGGAAACGGTGACGATTCCGCGCTTCTGGACGGCATCGGCTTCGGTGTCGAGCGCACCATCACCCTGACCGACGGGGATGCGGCGCCGACGGTGACGCTGGTTTTGACGCCCGATTCCATATCGAGAACAGCGGCGT